CACTTAGCACGCCCCAAAAATAGAATAATTCAGGGGGGGTAGCCAAGGTACTTTAGAATACACATGTGGGGTCCAACCTTGCAAATACATAATCTGACTAAGCTAGCAGAATACCTCAGCGGAGGCAACTTGATGATAACAAAATGATCAACTCCCAAGGCAACATGTTAGACGTCGGCCCCCGCGGCTCACTCAGCTCCAATACCCACGCACTTTATTGGAAAGAGGGTTCCACTAGAATAAAATCTGCCAACCCAAAGCAAGATCCACCAAAAGAATGCAACACATACCTCTTTCAGTCTGCTAAGCAGTTCATATTCTATGGCTTTCTGGCTGGGCTGGGTGGCTCTTTGGGGGCTGGCTTGGTGCCATGCAGCAATTGCAGTGCTGCAACCTCTAAGCACAAAAGACTTGTCTCTGACCGTGTCTTCAAAACACATATGTATTTATCAATATATTATATGCTTATTAAAGATATTCAAGATTTTTAAGTGTTGTACGTTATCACCCGGAATAAAGCGATAAGGCAGCCAGTGCTACATGTACATAGTGGAGATTGCAGGCACATCCAAGATCATCCAAGATAACGAAAACAAAAATCAGCCAGTTCTGAGGTTCAAAGCCATTGCATCACAAGTAGTGTACTCTAAAGACTCTAAAACTCTTCTCCAGCATCAGGCTCATATTTTAGAACTAGTTCTGCGAAACCAAGGTCTAAATCATCCAAACACAAACTGCATGTTAAACAAAAAAACACACAGCTTTTTTGCACATCATGGTTTTCTTTGGTCCTCGATTTCATGTTCACGGCACCAATTCCGAAGGAACCGCCACCGTGACCGGATGCTAATGCACCAACGACGGGCAGGCACAAACAACAGGCAGTGGTACGAGTGACCTCTCGTGGCAGAAAAGAGCGCGTGCTCCTTAAATGGTTGTGAATAGGCAAACAGGTGTATTAGTGTATCCCCACAACGAAGTCTTTACCACCCTACCATCCCCCACCCTGGGAGCAGGATGGGCACTCACGAATCATATCAATCATGAAAAAGTGTCATCCCACAGCTGATCCGGAACAATAAGAACGGCTCTTCGGTGTGGTCTGACCACCCGGAATGGCCTTCCAATTTCCAAGAGTTGGTCTTTCAGGACAAGCAGGAACAAGAAGCTACGAACGGGGCTCCTGGCATCGCTACGAACGGAGCAAGGACACTACGAACGGGCCTCCTGGCCGTACTACTAGGAACAATTGAAGCTACTAGGGGCCAAGCAGGAGAAGACCACGAATCGTGATGGGATCCCCCTTTCACTTCGTTGGGCTGCTTGAACTCCCGTTCGGCCCAGGCCTCCCACCGTCCATTCCGGAGCGAGCGAGCGAGCGAGCTCCCATCGTCTCCGGTCGCTTCAACCTGAAGAGTGAGTGAAAAGCGACCGGTCGGGCAGTGAACCAAAGAAAACCGGATGTTGCCAAATGGCTGCCTAGGCTGCTCATGTCTCTTGTAGACAACTTGAGCTCTCAAAAAGACCTTGCGCGGCTTGGCCGTGCTGCTTACGACGTGCAAAGGTCAGATTTGCCTATAAATCTCGTCTGCTCTTTTTTTGCCGGTTCTTAGCGGAGGTGGCTTCTACAATTGAAAAAAAACTGCGAAAATTCTCTTCATTCTCTTGCGACTGTCTCAATTCCCTTTTCTTCTCCAAGCACCCCGCTATGAAGAACACATATGAGTCAGCGTTCAAGATCGGGGTACCTTTCTCGGCCAATGCCTCACACCGCTCTGCCCCGTACGCTTTGATGCCCTCAATTTCCATATCTCCGATGCTTTGATTTGCGACATGTAAAGCTTCATGTAACACCGTAAACCCCAGCCACTCAGCCTTCTCATGGCTCTGCAGGCAAATGTTCATAAGTGGAAAGCCATGTTTGCCTTTGACAACAACATTGTCTTCGAACTGGACAAAGGCACCTAAGCGCTCCTCATCAGGACACTGAAATGGAAGCAAACTTCCGAGGAGGTCGCGCGTATCTGGTTTTGAGCATTGGCAGCGCTTGTGTGAAGAGTCGACGGTCTTGACAGCAATGCCATCAAGCAAAACGTTGCTTGCTTTCCTCAGATTGACATGCACCGCTGCTGCTGCTGCTACTAACGACTGGTTCCGGTATGCCTTTCCGAAGTATTTGGTGAAAGTCTTTCCAAATGGCGTGTCTTGCCCCCTCAAATTTGCCGTGATCTTTGCCCCACATCTGGCCAAGTCAACAGCGTTTTGCAAAGCCTTCTTGATCATCTTCTTGTCTTTCTGAGGCAGGCTGTGTTGGAACACCGCCTCTACTGCGTCTCCCGAGTTTGGGCATAGTGTCTGCAGTGTGGTGGAAATTGAAGAGCCAAAAACGCTAGAAGGACTCTCATGTGCCGCAAGCCCCGCGGCTTCTGTTTGGATTGCCATCACTCCATCCCTGCAAATCACTGCAAGTATAATCCGCAATGTGATGCGCGGCATCGCTGCGGCTTGTGGGAAGGAACAAGTGTTTGCCGGTTTGGCTCAAAATTATGGTACCAATGACCCGGACAAATGTGTTTTTTTTGTTCTATCAGGATTCTATCCACTTTTGGGTCATGACGTGATCCTTCACCAACATATATGCTAGGTCACTAGGCGTCTGTTTTGCTCTTGACTGATCCGAACATGTTCATCGGCTGATTCCCCACATGGTGCCAAGCTTTTTGTTGTTTTTCTCGGAAACACGTATAAGAAGGAATTGTACCACACCCACATCTACAAAACTATAAACATATATTTATTATACCGTACTATAATGGGGGGAAGCATATCTTTCATAGATATGTATACCATGCTCCTTCTCCCCTGTCCTGTGCCATCCTTGCATCTCCCATTCAATTGGATTTACCTATGAAGAACGATTGACATCCAGTTGAATTGAACAGAAGCATCATAAACACGAAGAGGAAGAGGCAGATTCATGTAATTTTATAGATCAACACATCGCTATGTCCCAAACGCTCCATGGGACTGCCATAGGACTTATGCCGATCAGTTGAGGTGCTTTGAGGGGTCAATGTCGGCGTATATGGCAGTCCCAGACTCGTCGCGTCTGGGTGTGTGAATGTTTGTAGAGTTCTACAAGCAAAGTTGCCAAGTTCTATATGGCCTATTGGTAGGTGATCCCCTACCATACCCCTTTCTCTTTAGCCTTCCCTTTCGTTTCCCCCTCCCCCACCCTGCCTGGCACGGCATCGCTCCGGCCCTTGGGGAGTGCCGAACCCGTCCTCGGACGGTTCAACATGGTTCAACCAAGTCTTGGCTCGCGTGTTTTGGCCGTCGCTCTGGACTACAAGCAGGACATCTGGAGGGAACATGGTCCAACAAAAACACTGACAGTTGCGCAGTTGCTGATGTTGTGCATTTTTTTGGGGGCTTCTTGGCAACTCCTTGGCTGAGGAGCGGCAGTTTTGCGCTCCTAGTCAAGAAACTAGATCTGTAAGAACTCGTTCTCCGAAGATTTCTCGTTCGCACCGACCTTCGGCGGGAATTTCATCCGACACATCGGCGTACATCGCGTGGGCTGGACGACCCGGTTGACAGAGAGTGGGCTATAAGGCTGTTCAACCTCTCTTGAGATGTTGGCACTTTGTCCAACAGCTTCCAGCAGAGCAGGAAACAGCCTCTCTTCTTCAGTCCGCGGCATGGAAAAAAGCTGTACACAAGCGGAAAAACAGCGGCTCCATAGAAAATGGCACAACCCCCCAAGATGTCTGATAAATGTCCATATAAATCCCCTTTGGGATTGTGCAATCTACGCTTAATCCACTATATAATTCTGGCTCTATCATTCCTCTCTCATCAGCTATCACATTGTGGGACAACCTGATTCTGTCCTGCGACCACTGTTTCTACGCACATAATTTCCATACCGCGGTTTTTGTTCGCCAAAATTCTTCAATTCGATAGCCGAGAAACCAGCATCGCCTGCCTCCTGCAAAGAAAAGCCAGCCAGCTCGATCTCTTTGAGAGAAAAGCCAGCATCCTTAGCCTGCTTCACAGAGAAGCCTCCTATCTCCCTGCACTCGGTAAAGCATCCTTCAGCCTTGTA